CTAATTCTAATCTTGAATTTTAAGGTTGTCCGGCCGCCCAAAGAATCGGCTAATTATTTACCATGATCTTATGTACACTTTATCATCATGTAACATTTGACTATTAACCGTTTAATTCTACAGTCATAAGTATATTTAGAAATTCTCTATTCTGAAATGACATTTCACCTCTTCACACAACATCAACGACGACAATTGTCAAGTGTAAGGACTTAGAAAATATTTAGTTTAGAAATATATAATATATTTTTATAGGCAATGGGTAAATAGTTCGATTAACCAATTACTCACATGTGGGTTTGATGTATAGAACAAGTATATCCTAAGAAATTACTACTACATCCAAGACAGCAGAAGCGCAAATTAATTACATAATTATGACATGGGGAGGTAGTGAAAAACTATTACAATATTTATATTTGATGTGGACATCACATCTTTGCCTCATATATTGATGTGAAAAAATAATTAACTTCATATGACCTACGTGGCACTATAACATTGGTGGTTGGCTTCATAAAGGAGCCAACTATTGGCTCTATAGCATTTCTCTTTGATTAAGTACAATCTAATTAACTCCTGAACGAAGATTAGTTGAAGGCAAGTCAGCTTATAGTAGCCGCAATAATTTCAAATTGAATAGTCTGTTGCAGTTAAAAAGCTAGAAGTAATTGGACCTTGGGTTGTAATGGTTAGTCCGCCTTTTCGTGTGCATTATTGCTCCTTGGCTGAGTCGTGCCTCCGATGCTGTTATTTTGGAAAGAGTAGTATTCAAAGCAGACCTTTGCTTTGGATACATTAGTAAGGGATATCATCATAAGTTTGGTTATATTATATTGGCTTTTATTAGAATAATGATTAACAGGGACAGTCAGAGACATTTATATTTCATAATCAGATGTGAAATTCTTGAGTTTATGAAAAATTAATAACTGCAAAAGCATTTGCCAAGGATCAATAATGAAAAAGAAAGTTGGAGCCCCGAAAATAAAATGACATTGTCCGAGTTTCAATCATAAATGATTACCGACTTGGGATATCTTTTAGGACTCTCAACACCTTATGAGAAATCAATTTATGATTACCGACTTGGGATATCTTTTAGGACTCTCAACACCTTATGAGAAATCAAAATCTTTGGCTTCCTGAGGTATATGGTTGCTGGGTTGAAACTTATAGGAATTGGTCATAAGACACCACCACAAGGAGAGATTTACTAGATTTAGACATAGAAAAAGATTGACAGACTGAGAATTTTTTCTTGATTTTATGGGTGTTGGTGCATCGAAGTAAACAATTTGGTTGAAATATACAGATGTTTATTCTTACAATCCAAGGAAAAATCATGCACACAATTTTGCCATATCAAAATTCTACATTTAAAAGTTTATATTGATTTACTTTAAATTCCAAATTTACAAATTGAAAAACTATTACAATATTTATATATCCGTTAATGCATATGTAGAAGTATCTCAATATACACACTTTTCTACATCAATGAGTTGGTCCATTGAATTCTAACTTTTTATAAAATTATGAGTTAAAACTTATCCTTTTATATGGTGATAACAATTGTCCAAAGTCCTCGTTATTACAACACATTTATCAGAAAACAACCGCGTTAAGTTTGAATCATATCTGAGTAACAAATCTTTATGAAATATTTGAACACATTCATAGGTCAATCTTTTTATGATAAGACGTGATATGAAATTATACCAATTAATTTTATTTTATTTTATAAAACACATTATTGGACCGCTTACTAATTAATTTAGGATAAGCCGAATCAAGGAAAAGGGGTAAAATGAGAGATCCGGGAAATGTGGGAATGGAATAGAAGGATGAAAATGGGGCCCACCCAAAAATTTGGGAATTGATTTTTTTGAAGCAAAGCAAAAGTGAATTCACATGGCCTCCACATGGATTCTTTTAAACCTGTGATAACAATCACTCGTCTTTCATCATACATACATGTGCTCAAAATATTCAATTACGTACTCAAAATTTTACCGTCAAAAAAAGGGAAAAAAAAAATGAAATAAAATAATTCAGTCTAAATTTTTACACTTTCTAACCATTTAATATTTCTTTTAGCACATTACGTAGGTCATATGTACAAAAGGGAAAAATTGATGTGTAGTGTTATTTGGCATAGTTCAAAGTTAATTACTTCAGTCCAAGATAACAATAAAAAAAACTCACAAATTCTTATATGATATGGTGTAATTAACTATTGTATAAGAATATTATATTTCAGTTTGAAAATATCAATATGGATCTGTTGAAAAATAATAATTGTCAAACTATTAGTTTTGCCTAACATTAGTCTTATTAAAAGACTTGTCCATCATTTTATGTAGTCTGCTAAACAAATTATGGGAATTGAAATATTGAATGATAACTGAAATTCTCCTAAAATTCTCATGTATCTTACGAAGATCTTAGCCGATAATAAAAGGGATCCGAAGAAAATCATATAGATTGAAGAGGTTAAAAAAATAATTTTGGACAGGTAAATTAAAATCCTAAGAGCACTTTTTATTCTTATTATTCGATCTCGTGACTGATTCTTCTTTGAACTTTGCAAACTGATTTGAATGTTGGAATTTTTACATTGAGAACTCCTCCAGGAACCACTCCGGATGCTTTTATTTTGAACAGGTTTGAAAATTGACTAATTTTCAAATATATTTTTCATGTTCATGTTGACCGCTTAATTTTCAAGAACGCGTTGATGTAGTCTAATCTTGAGTTTTACATCATGTGAAAAGATTAATTGAAAAAATAAACTTGATTTATACATCATGTGAAAAGATTAATTGAAAAATGAGGTTAAGGGAATATATTTGCGAAAAGTAATAGAAATTATTGATGACTTTTAGGTTTCGACTAGTACGTAGCCCGTGCGATGCACGGGTCTGAGTTTCCAGATGATCTGTCCATTAGGTTTAAAAAAATAGAGTTAGATCATCTATTTTACACCTCTTTTGCTCATCGTTATTTTTTAGTCATAACGTTAAACCTCAGCCTATTAGCTCTAGTATGTAAATTAATTATTAGCTCTAGTATGTAAATTAATTAACATATTATCTCGCTAAAACGTTGATACTAATTTAAATTTGATTTTAGTATATATTTATTCTTTAACATAAAAAATAATAGTTTTACATATTCTGATATAATACTTAATTTATTATTTTATCATAAAATTTATTGTCATTATAATTTTTTAATAAATATTTTAGAAAATAAAAAAATATTTATCTATTTACAAACTCATTATCTCGAGTTTGAAACCATAAATTTTATTCTTAAAATAAAATTTAGAAAATTTTAACTTGTAATCAAAGATGAATTTGAATTGATTTGAAATTCCTAGCTAATCCATCTCAAATTTATTTTGTGAAAAAAGGCTATCCAAAATGTTTATACCAAGAGTCCTAATATTTTTAAATTGTAAAAAGTCTTCATTCAAAATATCTCCACTGACTTTGGCGGACCACAATATCGTATTTTATTTTAGGAAGTGAATAGTTGTGTATGTATATGGAAGAAATTTGAAAATTCAAATTCCAAAACCAAGACCACAATATCGTATTTGATTCAACAAATTAATTAATTTTAGGAAGTGAATAGTTGCGTATGTATATGGAAGAAATTTGAAAATTCAAATTCCAAAACCAATATCGTATGTAATGGGTTTATACAAAGTTCTCAATTTTTTCAAAATTGTATAAATCCTTCATGCAAGGAATCTTCACTAATTTGGGGACCAACAAATTACTTAAATTTAGGAAAGCA